AATGGTTAGTCACATTAGTTTTGCCTTGGTGATTGACCCTCGGCCCTATCTCATTCCCCCTTTTTGTGTTTTTGCGTTTGCGTTGTCCGTTGTGATTAGCGATCTTGTTTTTTTCTCTCAAATCTGTTATCCCACTGACTATAAAAATCATTTGGACTGCAGTATGCACGTGTGCAGATGCAGCAAAATGACCATGGATACATTATGCAAACCCATGTTTCTGACTTCTCTGTTCAGATCTTATAAAGGATTATTTCAGGGATAGAGCCGAGACGGTTGGCTTCTGCGAACAAAGCACACACTCAGGTTCCCGAATTGATGTTTCCTATCAAAACGATTCACTGGGAAATTCGGCTCACTAGCCGGGTAATGAATCACGGAAGTAAAACGTTATACTTGATAGAAGTGATGCATTTTACCCGGAGGATCACAGATCTCCAAAGGGATTAATATTAATCGCAAGTATTGAATGTATTCGACCAAGCACCCGGTGGTATGAATGTAAGTGGTTCCAAAGGAACACACAAATTGGCGAATGCAGAATAGGATCATTTCCCCGGTATCTAGTCTTTTATCTGCAGTGACAGAGCTGATTTGGAGGTGTTAATTATTATGGGTCAGCGGCGTATAATGTGTTTCGGACCCTAGTCTGCCTAGACCGGCTTATCATTTCAGGTACTGTGTCTCCTTTGAAAGGAATGGACAAACAAATTGGTTTTCTTTTGGTTCTTTAGTGGTGACCTTCATACGGGGTTGAGTGATCCTAACTGGATATCTATTTTCCGTGGAATTCGTTTTGATTCTTCGCAATCTATCTTCGCATGAGTCAGGCGATGTATTTAGGGAAACTGAAGTTCAAGATGACCACATAAAAAAGAATTTGTAAGATATCTACGCAATGTACTAGATGATGTGGTCTGCGTGGTCGATTCTTCCATACGTCCCCACTATTCCGTTGGACCAACTTAACAAAGCCCACAAGAATATAAGATTTGCACTAGAAATGGAATCTTCTGAAGGGGTGACTTCCCTTGATGCCCTTATCTCTCTCGCTATCGAAACGGGTCTCTCCCAGATATCGTTCACCAAAAGGCCCTTGAACAGGACAGTACACAAATATCGACAGTAAAAGAAGGCATTGATTTGATGCATGGTGAATATGTTTCTTTACCCGATTCATCTAGGGAAGAACTGAGAATACCCAAAACGATTTTCATAGAAAACGGGTATCCAGAAATGATCATTCAATCGTGTATGAAAATCATCAATTAGGTACAACCACAAATGGCAACAAAAAAGAAACCAGTTTGTCTATTCTCCCAAAAGACGACAGCTCATCTAAAGTGATAAATTGGCCTGCTAACTGTGTTCAGTAATACGTCCTACTCCGCTGATCCACGCATAATTTTTACTTCCAAACCAGTCCTCTCATTGCAGATAAAAGATAAGCTACCGTTGGAAACGATCTCATCCAAATTATATGTTCGTCTGGAACCACTTACACTAATCATTAATATATTCGAAGCATTAGGATAAATCCCATAATTATGAAACTTGTTTTATTTAACGGGGCTGAGGTTTATGCTACACCTAAAGTGAAAGCTCAACTCAGTCTGTGAATAGGCGGTGGGATTTTCCAAATCATGATAAAGGTTCATAATAAGAAGATGAACTTTCGCAGCTTCACTATTTGAACAGCTTTCTCATGTTTTACCGAAGAAGAACTATCAAATGTGGGGTTCGAATAAAAACTGAGCTCAGTGTATTTACACATTTCGAATATATTGAATCTAATGAAAATATTTCATTCTACCTCGAAGAGTTGTGACTGGCTTTTGGACAGTACCGTAATAACAACAAAATGACTAGAGGGTGGGGCATGTTTATAGAATACAGCACAGACAATCACGTAACCGTAGCGGACACACAATAGGCTCTGATTCCGTAACCTCGAGAACAGACCATGGAAATACTCCCAAGGTTTGATTGTTGGAACGAGCTTTGCGTGCGAGAATTGCTTTTCATTTACTGGTGAGTGTAGTTCTATCGGACAGAACTTATTTCGCTCCCTTGCCCTGGTGTGGCTAAGTTTGGAAGCGCATCCTTAGCAAACAAAACTGGTCGCACTGTAAGGCAGTACTGATCGTTGGACAGGACAAATAACAGAGTTAGTGAAATCAACTTTTGGTGCCTATGATTGCAATCATTAGCGGTTGGTTTAGCGTTCAACTGACTGTTGTGAAACGCTAAATTGATCGCACATTAGCAGAAAATGTCTATGGACGATGCATACGTGTCTGGTGTTCGGTACTCCGGACACCAAGCACCTCATGTGGCGCTATGACCTTATCGGCCTGAAATGACTTGCACATCAAAGACAAACCTGACCACATCAGAACCCAGCATGAGTTCGTGAATAACAAATTTTCTCCACTCGTTCGTCAACTATGGCTGCCAACAGCTTTTGGTAGAACGGGAACACGAAAAATACACGGCATTCACAAGGTGCTACACAAATTGAAGTATGCTATGTTCTTTTATTTTTTCCAGTCATACTGGAAAGTATCAACGTTTTTGAACAAAAATGAAATCCACATTTGACTAACAATTACTTGTGAGTAGTGGTGTGGGACAATTGGTTTTTATTGATTTGAGCTGACTATCAATCGGACTTTACCTTCACACACAATCAATTAAACATATTCTCGGAAGCACTAGATTCCAGTTTCGCTTTTATCAGAGCTCATCAGTGGCGTTTATTCACCGTCCCATCTGGGAGTTGAAATCTGGACCCATCGCATGGAAGGCATGTGCGTTGCCATGCCAACCAGCTCATACCTTGGCTGAACCAAATTGCCAATTAATGTTTGTTCAGGTGTTGTCTCCAGTGCTACTCAGTTCATTTGGCCCGACAGCAACGAAGGGAGACACAGATGACAGACTGTTAACTCCAATCGAAAGACTCCCACCAGGTCAGGACTTCCATGCAGGTATGGATTGATTCGCCAACGAAACTACAAGGCCGGATTGATATTTCGCATTTGACTCACGATTACAATAAGAGCGTACCCGAGTCTAGTGCTTCCAAGTGCATGGTTGCATTGATGAACTGAGGATTGTGCGTGAAGTTGAAGTCCGAAGGATAGACAGCTCAACTCCAAAAAAAATGAATTCGACTACCGACCGAATGGTTGATTACACAAAAAAACAGCGATTTAAAAGTCCATAAGCAGATTGGCTGTCATTTGGTTCAATACCACGCTTAACCTAGGGGGACATTGTGGTTCGCCGGGGCTAAGGTTGCCGGTTTCTATCACTGACCACCAGGTCTTGTTGACCATGCTCTCCACCCCGCGTGCTGTTCATCACACAAATTTGTATAGTAAAACAACTCCAATTGGCTTATAATTCCAGTCCTGGAAACAGTGTGATCGATCGAAATGAAATTGCGATATCAATCGGTCTCTGATGGCCGTCACCGCATTGAATACAGTCACCTGAGGTACATCATAATTAAATCACCACGCGTGCAACGACCCTAATGAGAGCAATGTTGAGTCACGAAAAAGGAACTTCTTCTGCATGTATTTCTTAATATTTATCTCACTGAAGATAACGATATAAACTGTGACGTAACAGCCAGTAGAGGAAACCTCTGGATTCTTTTTGTAATAGTTGGCAATCTTATAAATTCGGGATAATTCACGAGATCCCAAGAAATGAGACCAAACAAAACCGACCCTCTATGAATTCGCCAAAACTTCACAAGACCCCATTTCATTTTCCGTCAATTCCTTAAATAGAGCTTTTGCAGAATACCAATTTTTGAGTTCCATGAAATACAGTTCTGGAACAGCTCAATAACAAAAATTGTTCTTCGTAAAGGTGAGTACGTCCAGTTCATCCGATAGAGAATTGCTACAGATCGATTCGGTGACTTGTTAATCTGTTCGGCAAAAATGTTTATCTTTTCATCGTTTCCGATGTGTCAACCTATCAGAGAGATATTCAAATCAAATTCATTCATTAGTATTTTATTAATTCTCTCTCAGTCCTCTTCATCATCACTTATGATGTTTATGTTCTCACCATTGTGGAGACTCACCTTAAACACAAATCGGAGCAATAGGCACAGTTATGACCAATCGGATGATGGCGGTGGTGGTGGTGGTGGTGGTGGTGGTGGTGGTGGCGGAATCTGTTTGATTTTTTTTCGCAAAACAACAAATTCACGAAACACACGTCGCTACGAATGTGTCGAGACTCACGTAGATCAGTATGTCGGAATTCACCCCGGCCTCGTCGAACATGGCGGAGAATTTGAATATCGGACAGTATTTGTATTCCGCATGGTTTTTGTCATATGTGCACGTGCGCAGAAACTGTTTCGAAGCCCACGATTGAATATTTCGGCTGAAGAGGACGGGTCGGGCCGGGCACGGATGAGAACAAAGATGAAAAAGAAACAGCGTTTATAGGGCAAATTTCTCATGGGGTTAGCAAGACTGAAATTTCCGTCGATTTTGGAGTCCAGTTATTTTAAAAATGCTTTGGAAACGTTTCCCTACAAAACATTGCATCACTTCACATAAACGGAAACACCGCACTATATGAAATGCGCCTCGTGCTAACAATTCGCGGTTTCGCAGGCTGGCAAAGTGATGCTTGTTTTGACAGTAAACATTACCAAAGGATTTCCAAAACAACTGATACCAAACAGAGACTAAAAGTCAGAAATTATTCAACTAAACAAAGAGTTCAACGTCTGTGTTTTTAATACGTTTCTGGAGCTACCAACACTAACTACATGAAGCTTGTTGAATAAGGTGATCAACTTTATTAGAGCATTGTGCTTAAACCGATGTGATATGTAGATCTATGTAGACACAAATCGATAGACCGGTTGTTTGATGGAAAGTTGAATTGGTTATCAATATGATTTTAGCGTCTCAAAATAACTTTAAGCCACAGCCAAAATGAAAAATAATCATTTTTTATCCGTTTAATGTTTGTACGACGAGCACTGGTGAATGCTCTTTCTGGTCCAAAAGAAAACGCTCAGATCCACCAGTTGTAATGCTAAAACAATAATTTATTCAAGCGCATAACAAACCGTCTAGCAGGTGGCCAATAAGAATGTGCGGTTACAGCCATTGGTTAACTATAATAAAATTTAGGTGCCATCGACATCGACATCTGAATACTGTGCTAGCGGAGACAACATAACCAAAACCAACTGACTTTCGTGTACGTGGTTTGTGACTAACTGGTGGTGTTTTAACCATAAGCCAAGAAGAGGGATCGGTTATTTTTCTCTTTTCAAATAGAAAATTGTCTACAAAGATTTGCGTATTCTAATGCAATTGATCGATAATGGTTGAGCCAAAAAAGAATAACAACTGATAACGTGTAATCCCCACATCGTAGCTTGGTAACTCCTGCTGTGTGCACGCCCGACTGACTGGTCAGTTCTCTACATTTGTGGATTACTGAAGCCGAACTTGGTTCGTCTGTTTTGTGTGATCGGGACTCTATATCATCTGCTTCTTTCGTCCGAGAATGCTTTTACTTTATTTTATGTTTTATGTTTTATTGCAATAAATGAGCACAAAAAACTTTCTAAATATTTTACCAACTGATGTTTTCTTTTCAATCGAACAACCAATTTCATGTCACACTTAGACCGTATGAATTGTGGATACCCTTATGCGAACTGGTTATCTGACTAGTACGTCCATCTCTTTATAAGTACATCTCCGATATAAGTTAATTCTTTTCAATTGTATGTGAGCAAAACGGCATCAAAAGAACAGTGGCAGTTACACGGGAACATTGGGTTTTAGAGCAGCCAAATCCAGATTGAAGTAGAACAAACTCTTTAAGGAAGTTTTTCTTTCTCCGATGGATCTTGGTTACGGGAGAGCAAGAAACTATCAACTGTTTTGCATTCTGCACAGACCGCCCAACGTTATAGGTATCGTTCTATTCTCATGATTCTACAATGCCTTGAAAGTACCTGACGCAAAACCCTTTTTCACTTTAATTCAACATGAGTTGGGCACCCTAATACAGAAAGCACGATCTCTCTCTAGAAATCGAACTACGAACGCCTGTGAGTAGCATTCACAAGCATTTGCGGCCACATCCCTTGACCAACACTTCTGCATAATCTAACGACACTTTAGATTTACCAATCGCTATCCTTTCAAAATGGTTGACTATGGCTGTGGAGCACGCTGTGACAAATTACCCGGGTACCAGCATCAGGGATCTTAGTGACCAACGCACATTATTGAATGACTTGAAAATACTTTCGTTCCACCTTCACACCCTGGGACGAGAAATAGAAGTGATTTTCACCGCTAACTCTCTTCGTAATTGCTCCACTGTCTTCCATCAGCTTCTTGGTCATCCCAATGTTTTTGTGCAAATCCTTCATCTTCTACTTAACTCCGATCCTTCTCGTTACTCACGCACACATAGAAAACATTTATCTACACTCTCCCCGCGGCACATCTGACCACTGTCTCGTAAAACGTTCTCTCAACTTCTCTACCGTAGATCCTGTTCCCGTCTCCGGATGCAACTTTAAAGCTCATATCCTTCTCCCAAAAATAAGGCCTTCCAGCTTCTAAACATGTTTTGTCTGCCTTTTATTTTATTCCTGGCATCAGTGTTCGATACCTCACTCCACTTTATGTACCTGCTTATACTTCATCTCTGCCAGTCTAGTAAACTAAAGCCTTCTACACGCTTATTGACGCACGAGCTTGAGCTGCGGGTCAGCAGAAGTTGCCTTCAATGGTATTGTGGAACAGCAGTCATATCAGTGACAACTTCAGAGCGAGTAAATGATACTATATCAGGAATTCAGTTTTTATCCAGGTACCATGATTTTAGTGACAGTGACATCATTCTGCTCTGCTCTTGATTATATCTATCTTTCGGCACTTCATCAAGCAACATTTCTCGCTATCAATTGAATAGTCCTGTGGACATCTCTGAGATTCGCTATCCATGTAACTAAGTTCTAGGATTCATTTAACTGTGCGGGATACCTCGGGTTGAGCAGAGCTGAATGCTACTAGGCCCGTCCCCGGGTTGTGTATAATGGGATAACTTCACCGAAGAAGGTTAGCTGTGAATACGTTGTCGCATACCGCAACATATAAGCAGTCGCGAAGACAGCGGCAGAACTATCAGGGTGTGGTGGGTTTCGGGCTGGTTAGCTGGCTCCCGTTTAAAGGCCTCATAAGCCCAATGACGGTGTTGTGACAAAGGTCGATGTGACTGGCCTTTTTAAACTAAAGCCATTGATCATTTTCCGAACTACTAATCAATGTTCAAACAGGGTTAGTTCGCGAGTTCGTCTTCCAGTTTGCAGTGAATCACATTAAATACAAAACTAATAATCTCATCAGTGATTCCACACTGAATTTCTCTGTGCCTTTTTAGCGTGCCACAGCCCGTCTGTTACTTCATTTTCCACTTTTCGATAATTCCTTCATGGTGTGAGCTCAGATACACAGACACAAAGCCATATCTGACAAATCACTATGCCCATCAATCGAAGTTCTGGTTTAGACTCACCATTTTTCCAGAGACCCACAAAGTTTTGAAATGGGTCCCCTCCCCCGCGCCACCCCACCCGCGCTCACTTGCTTTTCCCGGTTTTGGAACACAGAATGATTCAAGAAAATATCCGCTACAGGAGAACGTCTTATTCTAACGAATAGATCTTTGGAGGCTACGAGTGGGTGCGGCATGAAAAAGTATGTAAAGGATTATGTAAACAATGCCCAGATCACAGGCCTCAAAATGCTCTTTCCTTATTGAGTTCAAAGCGAAAAAAGGTGTTATATCACCGATAGTGGATAGAAATCAAAAAGGTCTTAGAACTTAGCACAAGACAAAACTAGGAACCGAAACATCTATTAGGAAATAACACACTTCAGATGTACTAAACTGGAAATCCCAAGCTTTGTAAGCCTGATTGTACAAAAACGACATGATTTTAGTGTAAATAAGCGGCTTAAAAATGGGATAAACAATAGTGCGGACGTTCGATTCAAGATTGGAAAGAGGGACGTAAACGTTATCACATGTCACACCCAAATGGATATCAGTCCACTAAAGAATAATTTAATTCATAGTACGAGTTATGAATTAACGAAAACTGAGAAAGTTAATTGTTGAACGATTTCAAGACCCTGTAGCAGGACAGTTGGGACTCCCAGCAAAAAGCAATAACAGAATACTAAAAAAATGAACTTTCGATTGAGGCGAAAATGAGAGGGGGGTGGGAAAGACAATGATTTAACAGAGGAAAAAGCGGGAGTGAGTAACTCCTTGGAAAATTGAGAATTAATACGAAGAGAAGAAAGGGAGCTCAGAACGAAGGACGGTAAATTAAATTAGTCCTGCGAATCAATCAAGCAAAACATTTCACAAACAAGAACGCACACTAAGATAACAAAACACAACAAAACACATTTTGATTCATCCACAATCGGGAAAATATTGAAAAATAAGACCAAACTATTTATTTGAACACAAGTTTCTGGAGAAAAAAATGGCAGAAGACAATTCTCCGTACTGCTAGCCTCATGAAAAAATCTGTTTATCCCAACACAAAAACACATTTGTCCAAGGCCTAGGCGGCTTGACAGCCAACGCATG